GGATTAATTAACCACATTCATAAAAGAAGGAGAATATCTTAATATCACTCACCAATTTGACTGGAGATCAAGGTGTATCATACTCAGAAAACCTCACTGTCTATACATGAAAATAACACTGGCCAGAGTTACAAACATAACAGACTTATCTGAGGTTCCTGGAGCTGTCTTGTCCAGTCGCCTGATATCTCAAGTTATGCAGGAATGCACATCCAACAATTTTGGCTCCTATTTGAGAGGTGTCAGCCCAATTTTAACCTCTAGAGTACGAAAATTCTTCCCATTATTCACTAACGTTTGTGTTGACCAGTTCAACAATGGCGAGTCTCCTCTGCGCAGTTTCCCATTTTTTATAACAAATTTTATTAAATACAGTATGTTACACTAATTTACATAAAAAATACACTGTATTTTTTCTGGAAAATACATTATTTTCCACACATATAGTAGAACCCCCATATATATATAACAGAACCCCCATGTATATACCAGAACCCCCATGTATATAATAGAACCCCCATGTATATAGTAGAACCCCCATATATATAGTAGAACCCCCATGTATATAGTAGAACCCCCATGTATATACCAGAACCCCCATGTATATAACAGAACCCCCATGTATATAGTAGAACCCCCATATATATAGAACCCCCATGTATATAACAGAACCCCCATGTATATAACAGAACCCCCATGTATATAATAGAACCCCAATGTATATAGTAGAACCCCCATATAGTAGAACCCTCATGTATATAACAGAACCCCATGTATATAATAGAACCCCCATATAGTAGAACCCCCATATTATATAGTAAACCCCCATGTATATAGAACCCCCATGTACATAGAACCCCATGTATATAACAGAACCCCCATGTATATAGTAGAACCCCCATATATATAGTAGAACCCCCATATATATAGTAGAAACCCCCATGTATATAGTAGAACCCCCATATATATAGTAGAACCCCCATATATATTAGTAGAACCCCCATGTATATAGTAGAACCCCCATATATATAGTAGAAACCCCCATGTATATAACAGAACCCCCATGTATATAATAGAACCCCCATATATATAGTAGAACCCCCATATATATAGTAGAACCCCCATATATATAGTAGAACCCCATGTATATAGTAGAACCCCCATGTATATAACAGAACCCCCATGTATATAGAACCCCCATATATATAGTAGAACCCCCATATATATAGAACCCCCTATATATATAGTAGAACCCCCATATATATATAGAACCCCCATATATATATATAGTAGAACCCCCATATATATATAGTAGAACCCCCATATATATAGAACCCCCTATATATATAGTAGAACCCACATATATATAGTAGAACCCCATATATATATATAGTAGAACCCCCATATATATAGTAGAACCCCATATATATAGTAGAACCCCATGTATATAGTAGAACCCCCATGTATATAACAGAACCCCATGTATATAGAACCCCCAAATATATAGTAGAACCCCCATGTATATAGTAGAACCCTCATATATATAGTAGAATCCCCATATATATAGAACCCCCTATATATATAGTAGAACCCCCATATATATATATAGTAGAACCCCATATATATATATAGTAGAACCCCCATTATATATATAGTAGAACCCCCATATATATATATAGTAGAACCCCCATATATATATAGAACCCCCATATATATATAGAACCCCCATATATATATAGTAGAACTCCCATATATATATATATATAGTAGAATCCCCATATAGAACCCCCTATATATATAGTAGAACCCCCATATAGAACCCCCTATATATATAGTAGAACCCCCATATATAGTAGAACCCTCATATATATATATAGAACCCCCATATATATATAGTAGAACCCTCATATATATATATAGTTGAACCCCTATATATATATAGTAGAACCCTCATATATATATATAGTTGAACCCCCATTATATATATATATATATATATATTTATATATATATATATATTATATATATATATATATATATATATATATAATATATTTATATATATATATATATATATATATATATATAATATATTTTATATATATATATATATATATATATATATTATATATATATAGTAGAACCCCCATATATATATAGTAGAAGCCCCATATATATATAGTAGAAGCCCCATATATATATATAGTAGAACACCCATATATAGTAGAACCCCCATATATAGTAGAACCCCCATATATAGTAGAACCCCATATATAGTAGAACCCCCATAACCACTGATCTAGTATCTACGGTTTCAGTTATCCACGGTTTATTGTGTCCCAAAAATAGCATTAAATTATACTTAATAATAGGAGCAAAGTGTAATAGTGATGGTAAGAAGTGTTGAAGGTGTGGGAGGAGCAGTGTAATGCTTCCCATCACTCAAACACTGATAATTATAAACTTATTTTGCATAATTTATCAATTAAACTTTATCACAGGTACATATGTAAATGAGAAATGACATATATAGGGTTGGCTACTATCCTGGGTATTAGGTATCCACAGTAGGTCTTGGAAGGTATCCCCCGGGGATATACGGGTCCTACTGTACTTTACTGCCATCACATTACAACGTTTCGGTCCGACTTGGAGCATTTACAAATCACACTGTGACTTGTAAATAGTTCAGATGGGACCGAAACGTCGTCATAAGCGTCTCTGTCTTACGTGCGGGTTATTTGTGTATTGTTCCGGTCTTTCTGTTGTTTTTTTAATGAAGACGTGAGAGTGAGCACACCTGATATAACATAAGCAGACCTTAAGAAACAAACAAAAGACTGGAACAACACACAAATAACCCGCACATAACACAGAGATAATAACGACGTTTAGGTCCCACCTGAACCATTCACAAATCACACAGTGCGATCTGTAACTGGTCAAGTTGGAGCAAAACGTCGTCGTCAGCTTGTCTCTGCTATGTGCGGGATACTGAACACAACTCTTCAGTCTTCCTGTACCTAAACAGTTGAAATTTGTCACCATTAATGATGTTATTATAAGAAGACTGACAACCCATCACCTGACTCTCACCACATCAACATTTTAAATATTACTGAAATGGTAAAAAAAAAAAAAAGGAATCGTTGAAATGAGATCAATTACTGGAGAATATATTTCCCGGGGGGGGGGGGGGCTTATTAAAAAAAAATGTTTGACGGTCATTTTGAGCTTTGTAAATTTCAATTTGCAACTTGCATTAAATATATCGTTTCACATGTAATAACTAATGAATGCTTCTTCTGATAGGCTTCAAACCCAAAATGCTGTTATATCTTAACAGGAAGTATTTTTTTGTACTGATTCTGAGTTGTGTGGATGCCAGTCCGCTAATTAAATAATTTAATTAAACTGAATATTTTGGAAAGCTAAAAAATCAAATATTTTTCCTATAGGATCGTAGAGATTGTGAAATAGAAAATAAATGGGAATAGAAAACTGAAAAAAGTAATAAATTTAAATCTGACGAGGCAAGACTTCCTTATTGTCAGGATTTTGGTCTCATAGATAACTAGAGAAAGTCTCTTCAGTTTAGCTTCAAGGTTGATATTTCTTAATGGAAGGTTTGAAAAAGATTTGGGCTGTGTATGCCCTAATTTGCTATTTTTATTGAAGAAATTGGGATATTAATTTCCATATGATAACTTGTGACTGCTTTTTTGCTGATATTTATCAGCATTACAAACTTATGCCGCACTCTGCACTATTCCTGTCGCAAGCACTGAGGTAGAGGGGGCTAGGGTTATGCAATATATGGATACATTCCTCGGATCTTGCAATAACCGAAATACAACTAATTCCTAACAGCACTTGACTAAACCCCTCGGGATGACCTACGTCACACAGCAGCAAGACCTTGTGGCTCTTTTACCACAAGGAGTAGTGGAGGCTTGATCCTCCGTCTGTTAATCTTGAAAAATGAGACACTTGTGCAACATTTGGGAATCTTTTGAAGGTTATTTGATTGCCTCAAACTACATCTCTTCTTCTACCATTCTTCTCTGTATTGGACTGAAGAAGTCACTGGCTGGCGGAACGTTTCAGCAATAAAGCTTCCCAAATGTTGCACAAGTGTCTCATTCTTTAACTTGTCCTTGTGTCGTGACAATGTTGCCAGGGAGGAAGCACTGAGGTCAGCAGGCAGGCTAGCTGGAGGACTCGCTGACGTTCTCGTGTACCTGACACACTAGCATGGGAGGCAGCAGTAAAGTCAGCAGGCAGGCTAGCTGGAGGACTCGCTGATGTTCTCGTGTACCTGACACACTAGCATGGGAGGCAGCAGTAAGGTCAGCAGGCAGGCTAGCTGGAGGACTCGCTGATGTTCTCGTGTACCTGACACACTAGCATGGGAGGCAGCAGTAAAGTCAGCAGACAAGCTAGCTGGAGGACTCACCTGATGTTCTCGTGTACCTGACACACTAGCATGGGAGGCAGCAGTAAGGTCAGCAGACAGGCTAGCTGGAGGACTCGCTGACGTTCTCGTGTACCTGACACACTAGCATGGGAGGCAGCAGTAAGGTCAGCAGACAGGCTAGCTGGAGGACTCACCTAACGTTCTCGTGTACCTGGCACACTAGCATGGGAGGCAGCAGTAAGGTCAGCAGGCAGGCTAGCTGGAGGACTCGCTGACGTTATCGTGTACCTGACACACTAGCATGAGAGGCAGCAGTAAGGTCAGCAGACAGGCTAGCTGGAGGACTCACCTGACGTTCTCGTGTACCTGACACACTAGCATGGGAGGCAGCAGTAAGGTCAGCAGGCAGGCTAGCTGGAGGACTCACCTGACGTTCTCGTGTACCTGACACACTAGCATGGGAGGCAGCAGTAAGGTCAGCAGGCAGGCTAGCTGGAGGACTCACCTGATGTTCTCGTGTACCTGACACACTAGCATGGGAGGCAGCAGTAAGGTCAGCAGGCAGGCTAGCTGGAGGACTCACCTGACGTTCTCGTGTCGCTGGATGTAGATCTTGTGGAACTGTCCCTCCACAGGCTTGATAATGTCAGCCTTCATCTCCATGGCTACGTGCTGAGGCAACACCGACAACAACAGACGCTCCTGAAATACAAACCACAATTATTTATCAGCTCTTACGAACAAATATTGATGGTTATGTAGGTCACTTAGCTGTTTCTGCTAGCTGCACGCACTGCACACACACACACACACACACACACACACACACACACACGCTGGCACCACATTTTGGCTGACCAGGAAATGTCTTCTAGAGAGAACTTCAGAAGTTCCTAGAAGTAACTTCAAAGGTTCCTAGAAAGTACTTATGACGTTCTTAGAAGGAACGTAGCTCCCAGGAACTACGTCAATGAGGATACTCTTGTTTACCAACTTCCACTTGGTATTAGGATGATTCATATCTCCAAGTAGGAAAATATTTTATGTAAGATTGTTCCAGGTTTTCAAGGCGTTCATCTGTTTTCTTTAAATGATCCATAAATTCCTCAGTAGTTGAATGGACAGGTCAATACTGAACATAATTAGTGTCACTAGTGGCATCATTTCTCTTGTTTAGAAAGTCCTCATTATTTAGCCAGTCATTTTCCTGGTTTTCACGGCATTTTCTCTTTTGTGTTCTTTAAAAAAATGGGTCAACTGACATTAGTACACCCAGGTCTTTCACATGTACCATTCGTTCTATCTGATAATCCTGTGTTTAGAATACTGTGCCCCTTTTGAGTTTTTCCTTGTTACCATATATAAGCAGTTGGAATGTGTTAATATTGAGTGCTATGTTATTTTCTACTGTCTAATGGAAAACTTTGCTTATATCCTCTTGGTGTCCTTGCAAATGATGACATGAAGCTGTGGCGAGTGATTGTATTTATGTCCTCTACGAGGAGGAGAAACAATGATGGAGCCAGGACTGTGCCTTGGAGTACCCAGCTTTTTATTTTACAAATGCTAGGTTTTGCTGTGTTTACTACCACTCTTTGTGTCCTATTTGTCAGAAATTTGAAGACCCATTTGCCTTCTTTTCTTGTTATACCTATTACCGACTTGCATTTTTATCTTTTTTCTGACCCTGAAACGTCAGAAGAACAGTGACATGTGTGACTGTACATGAAGGAGAGTGAGAATATTATTATTATTACTGGTATATGTTCACGGGAAATTACTAAACCCGCAGGGATTGTCTGTTGAATGTGAGGAAATTAGGTTTGATCCTAGGAAAGGGAGAGTGGTCCCAAGACACCTTGCATGACGGCTGGCAGCTTTCCTTGACTGTGGAAACCCTGAAGGAACCCTCATGAAGCCCCCTGGAACTCTCATGGAACCCTCCAGGAACCCTCATGGAACACCCTAGAACTCTCAAGGATCCCTCCAAAAATTCTTATGGAACCCTCACGGAACCATTATAGAACCCTCCATGGACACCCTTAAGAACCCCTTAAGGGGTCCTCAGGAAACCCTCCCGGAACCCTTAACAAACCCTAATTTAACCCTCAAGGAACCCTGAAGGAATCCTTATGGAATCCTCAAGGAACATGTACGGAACCTTCCACGAACCCGCCGGGAACTCTCAGGGAATCTCTCAGGACCCGTCGGAAAAACTATTGGAATCCTGAAGGAACCCTCATGGCATCACGTAATCTTCACACAAGCTTAAATGAACCCTTAGGAAATCCTCAAAAATTCTGAAGAAAACCTTCAAGGAACATGTAAGGAACCCTCAAGGATCCTGTAGTAAACCCGTAGGGATCCTGAAGTAAACCATCAAGGATACTATTGTAAACCAAAGATCCTGTAGGAAACCCTCAAGGATCCTATAGTAAACCATCAAGGATCCTATTGTAAACCAAAGATCCTGTGCGAAACTCTCAAGGATCCTTCAGTAAACTATCAAGGATCCTGTAGGAAACCTTCAAGGATCATGCAGAAAACCTTCAAGAATCCTGTAGGAAACCAAAGATCCTGTAGTAAACCATCTAGGATCCTATAGTAAATCTTCAAGGATCCTGTAGTAAACCATCAAGGATCCTGTAGTAAACCTTCAAGGATCCTGTACTAAACCATCAAGGATCCTGTAGTAAACCATCAAGGATTCTGAAGTAAACCATCAAGGATCCTGTGGTAAACCGTCAAGGATTTTGAAGTAAACCATCAAGGATCCTGTAGTAAACCTTCAAGGATCCTGTAGTAAACCATCAAGGATTCTGTAGTAAACCGTCAAGGATTCTGAAGTAAACCAACAAGGATCCTGTAGTAAACCGTCAAGGATTCTGAAGTAAACCATCAAGAATCCTGTAGTAAACCATCAAGGATCCTGTAGTAAACCATCAAGGATCCTGTAGTAAACCATCAAGAATCCTGTAGTAAACCTTCAAGAATCCTGTAGTAAACCATCAAGGATCCTGTAGTAAACCAAAGATCTTGTAATAAACCATCATGGATCCTGTAGTAAACCATCAAGGATCCTGTAGTAAACCATCAAGGATCCTGTAGTAAAGCTTCAAGGATCCTGTAGTAAACCATCAAGGATCCTGTAGTAAACCATCAAGGATCCTGTAGTAAAGCTTCAAGGATCCTGTAGTAAACCATCAAGGATCCTGTAGTAAAGCTTCAAGGATCCTGTAGTAAACCATCAAGGATCCTGTAGTAAACCATCAAGGATCCTGTAGTAAACCATCAAGGATCCTGTAGTAAAGCTTCAAGGATCCTGTAATAAACCATAAAGAATCCTGTAAACCTTCAATGATCCTTTAATAAACCTTCAAGAATCCTGTAGGAAATCATGGATCCTGTAGTAAACCATAAAGGATACTGTAAACCTTCAAGGATCCTTTAATAAACCTTCAATGATCCTGTAGTAAATCTTCAAGGATCCTGTAGTAAACCATCATGGATCCTGTAGTAAACCATCAAGGATCCTGTAGTAAACCATCAAGGATCCTGTAGTAAATCTTCAAGGATCCTGAAGTAAACCATCAAGGATCCTGTAGTAAATCAAGGATCCTGTAGTAAACCATCAAGGATCCCGTACTAAGTCATCAAGGATCCTGTAGTAAACTATCAAGGATCCTGTAGTAAACTATCAAGGATCCTGCAGTAAATCTTCAAGGATCCTGTAGTAAACCATCAAGGATCCTGTAGTAAACCTTCAAGGATCCTGTAGTAAATCTTCAAGGATTCTGTAGAAACCATCAAGGATCCTGTAGTAAACCATTAAGGATCCTGTAGTAAACCATCAAGGATCCTGTAGTAAATCTTCAAGGATCCTGTAGCAAACCATCAAGGATCCTGCAATAAACCTTCAAGGAACCTGTAGTAAACCATTAAGGATCCTGTAGTAAACCATCAAGGATCCTGTAGTAAACCTTCAAGGATCCTGTAGTAAACCTTCAAGGATCCTGTAGTAAATCTTCAAGGATCCTGTAGTAAACTATCAAGGATCCTGTAGTAAACTATCAAGGATCCTGTAGTAAACTATCAAGGATCCTGCAGTAAATCTTCAAGGATCCTGTAGTAAACCATCTAGGATCCTGTAGTAAACCATCAAGGATCCTGTAGTAAACCTTCAAGGATCCTGTAGTAAATCTTCAAGGATTCTGTAGAAACCATCAAGGATCCTGTAGTAAACCTTCAAGGATCCTGTAGTAAACCATTAAGGATCCTGTAGTAAACCTTCAAGGAACCTGTAGTAAACCTTCAAGGATCCTGTAGTAAACCATCAAGGATCCTGCAGTAAACCTTCAAGGAACCTGTAGTAAACCATTAAGGATCCTGTAGTAAACCATCAAGGATCCTGTAGTAAACCTTCAAGGATCCTGTAGTAAACCATTAAGGATCCTGTAGTAAACCATCAAGGATCCTGTAGTAAACCTTCAAGGAACCTGTAGTAAACCATTAAGGATCCTGTAGTAAACCATCAAGGATCCTGTAGTAAACCTTCAAGGATCCTGTAGTAAACCATTAAGGATCCTATAATAAACCATCAAGGATCCTGTAGTAAACCATCAAGGATCCTGTAGTAAACCTTCAAGGATCCTGTAGTAAACCATTAAGGATCCTGAAGTAAACGTTCGAGGATCCTGTAGTAAACCATGAAGGATCCTGTAGTAAACCTTCAAGGATCCTGTAGTAAACCATCAAAGATCCTGTAGTAAACCATCAAGGATCCTGTACTAAACCATCAAGTATCCTGTAGTAAACCATCAAGGATCCTGTAGTAAACCATCAAGGATCCTGTAGTAAACCATCAAGGATCCTGTATTAAACCATCAAGGATCCTGTAGTAAACCATCAAGGATCCTGTAGTAAACCATCAAGGATCCTGTAGTAAACCTTCAAGGATCCTGTAGTAAATCTTCAAGGATCCTGTAGTAAACTATCAAGGATCCTGCAGTAAATCTTCAAGGATCCTGTAGTAAACCATCAAGGATCCTGTAGTAAACCATCAAGGATCCTGTACTAAACCATCAAGTATCCTGTAGTAAACCATCAAGGATCCTGTAGTAAACCATCAAGGATCCTGTAGTAAACCATCAAGGATCCTGTATTAAACCATCAAGGATCCTGTAGTAAACCATCAAGGATCCTGTAGTAAACCATCAAGGATCCTGTAGTAAACCTTCAAGGATCCTGTAGTAAATCTTCAAGGATCCTGTAGTAAACTATCAAGGATCCTGCAGTAAATCTTCAAGGATCCTGTAGTAAACCATCAAGGAACCTGTAGTAAACCTTCAAGGATCCTGTAGTAAACCTTCAAGGATCCTGTAGTAAATCTTCAAGGATTCTGTAGAAACCATCAAGGATCCTGTAGTAAACTATCAAGGATCCTGTACTAAACTATCAAGGATCCTGTAGTAAACTATCAAGGATCCTGCAGTAAATCTTCAAGGATCCTGTAGTAAACCATCTAGGATCCTGTAGTAAACCATCAAGGATCCTGTAGTAAACCTTCAAGGATCCTGTAGTAAAACTTCAAGGATTCTGTAGAAACCATCAAGGATCCTGTAGTAAACCTTCAAGGATCCTGTAGTAAACCATTAAGGATCCTGTAGTAAACCATTAAGGATCCTGTAGTAAACCTTCAAGGA